CCTTCTAGACGGACAGAGAACCCCCTCGACAAAGAAATGAACGACGAGGCACTCAGGGACGAGCTCGACTTAATCGAGGAAATCCGATCTGGGGCATCCCTCCGCGAAGCCACCCTAAAACAACGAGTGGCTCTGTGCCACAACGACAAGGTCATTAAGCGCGAGTTCGAAATCGACAGCCTGGTATTACGAAGGAACCAGAAAGACTCCCGCGAAGGGAAGCTGGCCGCGAACTGGGAAGGGCCTTATCGCGTCCACGACACCACCGGTACCGGGGCGTACTACCTCGAGCAACTAGACGGAGAGCCACTACCACGACCCTGGAACACTGCTAAACTGAAGCAATACTATAGTTAAAAACTACCAACACCAAGGACCCTCGACTGTCGACTCCCGCGCCCAGTTAACGAGGAGAAACGTCCGACCCCCGTAGAGAGGCCGAGGTACAGGCCCGACCTACGTCTAAACCGTATAACATCGTTCAACAGACAAGAACAAACGATAGTGCCCGACGTGGACACCTCGATCGAGCTCCACCATCAAAGTACCCGTAGGGCAGAACACCCAGCTCGCGATGGGCAGTTCACGCCGCGGGCAAATAACCCCGATCCGGGTCATATACCCGACCAAGCGGCTTCGCTCCGCACGCCCGACGAATCTCGAAGAACGTCGGGCCATCTAAAAGGGTCAAAAAGGAGTCTCTCCCCTCGAGTTCACCACTTAGGCGACTCTGGCCATCGAGAAGAGGCCGAGCACATACACGAACAAAAGACTTAGGCAAATTTGCCAACAAAGTCACAACCATATACGGGCACGACTCGGGCCCATAACTTAGGCCAATTTTTGCACAAAAACGTAAAACACAAGCACGGGCAAACAATCAAAAAATTGAAACAAACATTCATTCAAAATTCTCGTAGGCAACAAAGCAAATAGATGTAAACCGACCAAGAAGGCCGGCAATATTCAAGAAATACAAAGAACGGGCGCGCAGGCCCAAAAAATATGAACGGGCACGCATGCCCAAAATAAACATCAACAAAGGCGCGCAGGCCCCATCATTATCTCACAACTCAGCTTCCCCGGAGCTATCACCAACAACAGGAGAGTCGGGCGGAGGCACGACCTGACCATCAATGATCTGAGACATATGGCTCACCCCTTCAGTGTTCAGGCCGGGATTCAACAGGGAAAGCTGGATGACCGCGGCTTCAAAGCCGTCCGCCATAGCTCCGACACAGTCCCCCTCGAGAAGTTGGATACGAGCGATCAGTTCTGATCGACTCCTCAAAGGAGCCGTATCCTCCGACTCGTCCTCGGCAGGAAGCATAACGGCCTTTAGGTCCTCGATCTCTCTGGCGAGGCGCCCGTTGTCAATTTCCAGACGTTCTTGGTCCGCACGAAAAAGGTCTCTCTCCTCGGCCAGCTTCCCCGAGTTCTCTTTCTCCAGAGCCAGCAACTCTGTCTCCGCCGCCAGCAGCTCGGCTTGCTCGCGGAACATCTCCTCGGAGCGCTCCAGAGCAGCCTTCAACTTTCGCGAACTCGGGGTGAGGGCAGCTTTCTCCTGCTCCAACTCTTTGATACGGTCAGAGTCCTCCCCCTCCTCGGCCAGCACAACTGCCATCTCGACCATCTTTACCAGCCCGACCATATTGGCGGCCAGGTGCCTTCTCCGGTTTTCCTTGCTCATCCGCCTGATAGTTTCGGCTTCATCAGCACTCACGGACAAGGGAAATCCCTCGAAGAAACCCTCCTCTTTAAAGCAAGGGGGCAACCCGAAGGACCTCACAGCGCTGGAGTCCTCACCGACCTCCGGTTGACTTTCCACCTGATTCCTCTTCCTCTGTATCAGGTCGGTGTGTGGCTCGACCTCCTGGACATCCGGGATCCCTCCCGAAGCAGCTCCCGATCTAGGTGGCGAGTCCACCCTCGTCGCCTGAGAAGCGCCCGGACTATGTGGCAGACCCATCCTCGTCGCCTGAGGAGCTCTCACCACCCTCTTATTTACCTTCCTGTCACAGGACAACTTCAAGAGCCTCTCCCTTCGCCCGACCATCAGACCTGCATGAAAGAACCCCGAGTTAGTGACGAGCAAATAAGCGAACAAATAACAAGTAAAGAAATTCAAACAAGACAAAACAATAACGACCTAGCAGATTCACAGCCTGCCCGAAGGACTGGCACTCCACGAGTGCCTTCGTGTCAATCGGTCGGGCCTCGAAGGTCGGATAACCTTCCTCGTCAAGAATATCCTCCCCATCCCTCGTGGTCCATATGGCGGGGAAGAAACTGTCGACATACCGACAAAGAGTACCATAAGCCTTCTCGTCTTCGTGGCTCATCTCGCCCGCGGATGTATGGTAGTACCCGGTGCCATGGTCGTAGTGCCTCGAGGTCCAATGCAAGGGAAATTTGGCCACGCGCCCTAACACTGGATGTCCCTCGTCGTCCAGAAGGGCTTCCCCTTGGTCGTCGGTCACGACCGTCTCCCCCTCATATACAGACTCTAAAACTGCTGTGGTAACCGGCCTCACAATATACCACTTGTCCTTGAAGCCCCGCACGAAATCCATGTACATTCTGAACAATCTCTTCGACTGCTTCAAGGAAACCCAGCTATGCCTGCCTCCCCGGGACTGTCGCTGTAAGTGGAAGACTCTGAAGAAAAGGGGTATGGTCGCCCTAATCCTTAGAAACCGACAAGTTAACTCGAACGCCCGGATGAAAGCGAGCGAATTTGGGTGAAGCTGCGACGGGGCCAGCTCCAGATGGGTGAAGACCCCGACCTGAAAATCGTTGAATGGCAGCTGTAATCCAAGGTCCTTGAAGGTAATTTCGTACATGGGGAATCCATACTCGGGGAACTCCGAGCAGATCCGCACGGTGAAAGTTGGTCGCGAGACAACGAAATTCTTCTGGAAACCGGGCTGGCTACTGCCCTTCTCGAGGATGGTGTATGCACTTCGACTACGTCGACTGTAGGCCGAAGCTATTCCCCTGGGCTCGGCGCCCACCCATGCCAGCAAAGGGTCCTCAATGGTATCAACCAAATTTACATTTTCCTTGGCACTTTGGTCTTCCACCTCAGCGTGCCCAGAGGAACACGGTTCGTCGGCCATGGTTACCTACAAAGCACAGGAAACCGGTCAATTGGGGAGCAAATTCGTACGCTCTCCATAGCAGACGGGATGAAGAGCGCGACAATCCATATCACTCCACGCGCGACTAAAAAAGCTGATGTCTCGAAACAAAAAGAGGAGTCACCTCCCCGACTCCCAGATACCACGACAAGTCTCCCTACAGATCGCCTAAGTGGGCCAACGTCTCGACCGTTCACGAATATGTCGACCTAGACTATGAACGTGGCGGGCGATATCATGCGTCTCAAAACTAGAGCCATGAGTTCACCGGGCACCACCAAGAATTAGGCGCCCCGAATCATAAAGATCCCGGGCAACACTGCTGGTTAACACCTAAACTATGCATTGGCCGGGCGCAAGCATGCGTTCGTCGGGCATAAACATAGAGTTGTCGAGCTAAACATAAATCTACCGGGCTAATCCCAGGCGTACAGTCTCTAAAACGTCTGAAAACAATGAAAATCATGCATCACAGAGGAAAAACGAAGGAGACAAGACACTTACTTGGAATCAGGAAGGTAATGTGACGATGGAGAAAGGAAATTAGCGACGGAGATCACGGCGGTCCTATGAGTATCTGGGAAGAACAGCAACAGCAGAAACAGAGTGAAGAGGAGAAGCGCGAACAGGGAAAACACGTTCTGGGGCCCAAACACCCTATTTATAGTGATGACGTGGAATACCAAACGTCACCCCGGGGAACCACATAATTTCCCTCCTCGACGTGTAGCTCCCCTAGGCAATGATGATCCTATCGTCCGTAGGGTGGCGGCACGGTTCCCAAGAGATGCCTCATGTGCCCAACGAACGCAGCCCGTCGAGACTCCCCGAGCGCTCCTTGCGCGGTATCATCTCGTATGCCCGACACGGGGAAATCTCCTCGAGCAAGCCGCGGGAACAACACATTCTAGCCGGGAACGGGACCCCGTGACGCAGGCGACCTAAGATCAAGTCATGGCTCCTACTACAGGAACCACGACTTGGGGGGCTCCTGTTCTGGACTGGGCCGGGCTGGCCCAAAAGCAATGGTGAAGGCCCAATCCAAACGGTCTTGCAAGGGGTCACGCCGACCAAAAGGCCATGTCCGTGCCCGACATTCTCTGCTAGTGCGACGTCCTCGACTCCATGCTATCCTGCTCGACCTCAGCTCGAGCACTCCTCCTAGGGCAGACTCTATCCACTATGCCATCACCTGGATCCCGAAAAGACCGCGTCCTCGTCCGTCCGTACTTCACGCAAGACATCCAGGAAGGGGACCACGTGCGGGTTCCCACTACGCACATAGAACCTGGCAGTTCCTCCATTGGGTCAAACCTGCCTGGCCCAACGAAGGAACCTTGGCCCAGCGCTGGGGGCTATAAATACCCTCTGTTCCCAGAGGGCCAGGTATTCATTCTTTTACCCATACTCATACTCTTGCCTGCTCGTGCTCTTACTTACTTCAGCATCGGAGTGCCTTGCAGGTACCCCCCACCTCGTTCAAAACTTCAGCTCGGAGCCAGCCGTGACGGTCTAAATCTGATCAGGTTAGATCAAGAGGTGAGAGAGACGACAGATAAAGTGTGTAAAAATATTTGTGTTCTCATTTTTTTCTAATTCATCTAGGCCTTTAGATAAATGTAATGGTGTATAAAAAAGTGATATACCCATAGAGATGGTTCACCCTAAAAATTACACTTCTAATATTTATTTTTAAAGATATAAGAATGTTATTTTTTTTGTTAATACCAAGGAATGTGGTTAAACAAAAAAAAAGAAAAGAAAATAGAGTGAATTTTGTTTTAATTAATCAAATGAACGAATCACTAAACCCTTAAAAAAAGAGAAACAATGAAAGTGGAATAAAATCGAAGAATCAGAATGGCGATGCAACGCAGAACAAAGGCGGTACAGAGGTTGTTACAACAAATGGCAAACCACCACCATCAGCAGCGGCGGCAGCTCAGCCAAACTCATGACCATAACGTGACTTCCTTCATCTGTTCTCTTCGTTATCATTTTCTCATTCAATTCAATTCAATTCAATCTTTCTTGACAGGTTTTGGTTGAAGGAAATGGATACTCCAGACTCGCACTTCTTAACCGATCCTCCGCTCTCAATGCTATTAACACCTCCATGGTTACTTTTTACTACCTCCATGATTTTATTCTCATTTTTGTAGGCACTAAGGTTAGTATGGTTTTTCAGGCTGGTAGACTGCATAAACTCTATACAAGTTGGGAAGATAACCCTGATATTGGTTTTCTAATGCTCAAGGTAATACTTATTATACATATTCTCTATTCTACATACATCTTATGCTAACTTATAATCATGTCAAACTTACAGGGCAGTGGCCGGGCATTTGCCGCTGGCGGAGATATTGTCACGCTTTACCATTTTCTAAAACAAGGTAAGTTATATCAGCTGTTTTCATTTCCGTAGCTCTTTTAATTTTTCCCTTTCTATTTATGCAGGGAACATGGAAGCCTGCAAAGAATTTTTTAGAACAATATATAGTTTTATATACCTGCTAGGTACATATTTGAAGCCACATGTGAGTACTGTATACAGAGCCTGCTCAATTATCTCTTCTCATTTAATTAGACATAACTTTTATATACTCATTCATATCTTATCTGCTGTTTCTACTTGTTGATTTCTTCAGGTAGCTCTTCTGAATGGCATTACCATGGGTGGTGGGGCAGGAATTTCAATCCCTGGAACATTCCGAGTTGCAACAGACAAGACTGTATGTAGTATAGAAACTTCCCTCTTGCGCATTACTCTTGTATTTGGGGGATTGTTATTTGTAAGTAGGGACTTAGGATATATGATAATGGGCCTGCATTATGGTACAAAATGATTATACTATATTAGTACTCACTTTTTCTTGCTGATGTAAGACTTCAGATTCTTTACTCTATTACTCAGCAAATGTTGATATTGGTGGTTTATCTAGTGATAATTTTACAGTGCATTGATAGGGAATACATCACGTTTGTGGTCTTAGTAAGTTTAGTATTATACTTCTATGTGTAGAACTTTACTTACTTTCACGTAGATGATTTATCGTTTTTGCACCATATTTGAATGGTGGCATTAGAGGTCTGGTATCATATCAAATCAAAGGTGGGAAGCGGGGGTGGAACAAACAATTAGTAAATTGGAGTTTGGAGTGGCAAATAAGTAATAAGTTGTATGTCCAAGTGTGAATTCTATCTGCTCCTACTTTAAGGAGTTTATATTCATTTGGGAGAGATATGCATGGTGTAACACTTGGTTGCATATACTGACTTAAGTATAACTTATCACCGTTTTGCAGGTTTTTGCTACCCCTGAAGTTCTTATTGGTTTCCATCCCGATGCTGCAGCATCTTTTTACCTTTCACGTCTACCTGGTCACTTAGGTATTGTTTTATCTATACTATATAAGTGCCCCATCAAGTATTGGCAATATATAATTGAATAATGAATGATTTGTTAAATAGGATATCATCTTATTTTTAATATAAATGATTGATTACGGAAATTCACTATTTCGACAACTAGTACCAATTGAAGATACAGGTGATGAACTTCCTCTGTTAGTCTTTCTATGTTTCATTGGTTGCTATTGTATGCAGGAGAGTACTTGGCTCTTACAGGGGAAAAGCTCAACGGAGTAGAGATGGTTGCCTGTGGCCTTGCTACACATTATTCACTACTTGCAGTTTAGTTTTATTAAACCCTATTTCTTTTTCTTTCTTTCTCTTTTTTTCTTCATTATTTCAATTGTCATAGACTATTCTTGTTCTTGCTATATGAAATTCAAAACCTTTGTTTGTTTTGTCCTCTAGAGGCTTCCATTAATTGAAGAGCAGCTGGGGAAATTGGTTACTGATGATCCATCTGTCATTGAAACCACTTTAGAACAGTATGGTGATCTTGTATATCCAGACAGCAGTAGTGTACTACAAAGGTTTGGTCTGTCTTTTATTCGGTTACTTCTCTTATATTTTGGCTCACAATATCAAATAACTCTTCTAATTTTCACTTTTTATTTTCAGGCTGGAAATTGTAGATAAATGCTTTTGCCATGACACAGTTGAAGAGATTGTTGATGCATTGGTAAGATTTACATTCTTTTTCTGGAAAATGATAATTAAGGGCCTTCAACTCAGTTTTTTATATTGAGACCATATGGATCAAGTAACGCCACAATGTTCTATCAAATATCATGTTTTTTATTCAACTCGTTAATCTCGAGATCTTAATATTTTTTATAAGTGATGGAGAAATTCTTGCCTTTAATTGAGTTGTTTATGTTTTGGCTTCTCTTAGACGTATTCCTTTCTTTTGCATGTGTTGTGACTTACGTTTGGATGAATAATATATAATTTCCTTTTATACTTATCATCATTAAATTTCCAATAGGAAGTTGCGGCAAGTGAAACAAAAGAACCATGGTGCATTTCTACCCTAAATAGACTTAAAGAAGCTTCTCCATTGAGCTTGAAGGTTTCCTTAAGATCTGTGAGTTCCTTTTGCTTGACTGATGGTGTCTATACATTTTGAGTTCATGTTTTCTCTCTTATTTTCTTAGAAAAATATTGGTTCTATAATGCAATCCTTCTAATTGTGACAGATACGAGAAGGTAGATTTCAGACCCTTGATCAGTGCCTGTTGCGCGAGTACCGAATGACTTTACAAGCAATATCTAAACAAATATCTGGTGACTTCTGTGAGGTATAAACATTCCGAGTTTCTGTAAACTAAAACAAAGTTTTGTGTCTTTCTAAACGTAAGTTGATTTGAATCTCTTTTAGGGAGTGAGGGCACGCATGGTGGACAAGGACATGGCAGCAAAGGTACCATTCACTTGTATTACATTATTTTTCTTCAGATTTTGAATATACAAGTTCTTCTTAATACTTAAATTTTCTCTATTGATATCTCAAAAATTTATTTAGAATCCAAATTCATGTTATGATTGTGAATTAAATTTATGCAGTGGGATCCTCCAACCTTGGAAAAGGTGTCACAAGATATGGTGGATCAGTACTTCTTACCTCTAAGTGAATTTGAACCTGATCTGGAGCTTCCAACAAAATCCCGGGAAGCATTTTTTTAGCTTATCTTTCTCTGTGGAATCCGATAAAGAGTTATACAACATTGATATTTTTCTGGGAAAACATCAAGCATGAACTTATTGGCAATCTGATGGACATGGTAGACAGTGGATTTCCACATGTAGATTGTAAAATTTATGGATTGTGAAACAGCTTTAGTCTTTGTTTGGCATAGAGGAATACATATAATTATTGACTTGACATTCACAGAACAGATAGTTTCCTGAAAATAAAATTATGATGAAATGACTTATCTAGTGGGAATTATTCACACACAACTGCTGATTATCTAGTGCTATTAGCTATATAAGTTGTTTAGTATAAACTTAATTTTTGGACAGATTATTTGATTAAATGACTTATTTATCATGCAATATGCCCATAATGGGAATTATTCTAGTAAAACGGTGGGTTTGAGAGCCTTTTTGGCCATTGACTTATTGCATAGTATATTTAATTCTCACTTAAAATTTAAGAACCGATGCACAAGAAAAAGTTTAGCGGCAATAGACAGCTTGACTCATATTTTTTCTATTTTACAAACTAGCAATGCATGCAAGTGCGATTTGCAAAATTGATAAAGAAGACAAGAATGAATATGGCCTATGAAGGTGGAATTTACGACATTAACGAGATGTAATAAATCATATGGAACATCTTCAAACGTGGCCCATGAAGGTCTGGAATTTTCTTCATTTCAAATCTAATTGAAAGCTATAGAAAAACAAAACAAAAAAACGAAAACGATGGCCCATGCAGGTCTCGAACCTGCGACCTTCGCGTTATTAGCACGACGCTCTAACCAACTGAGCTAATGGGCCATTTGTTGTTAAAATTCACATCCTGGTTTACATGTCTTAGAATGTTCTTGGAGACAACTCTTCTAAAAGAAGGTTCCAAGAGACTTTCTCGACTTTCTCGTATAAGATCCTCATGCATTTGTAAGTCTCATTCGTGTGTATTTCTAGGACATGACTATATTTGGTTCATTTCATCTCATAAGATTTGATATATAATGTCATATAGGATGTACCTCTCCCCAATCAATAATTCTTTCCTTTAAAGACTAATCGGTAACGCCAATTTATAACTTGTTTCTTGGCATCATGGAGGCTCGGTGATGCCCCTCAGTCATAGGCAAGTCCAGGTTTCCATGGAGATCGATATTAAATTGTTCAATGGTGAAACACAACTTAGCTCAATGTTTTACGACACTTTTATTTAGGAGATTCCATATATGTGTTTGGAAGATAGTGTGACCAATGCCTTGCGTTCTTTCTTTTTTTTAAGGACCAAAGAGAGTTTAGGAAATGTATCGACGTGGTGTACCTTTACTGTGACCTTTAGATCCTTTCCATTTTTCTTTGTTGTTCCTAGCCTCTGGTCTAGGTGGCCTAGAGTGAGACACACATGTAATGATCCTTGAAGAAATTAATCTTTAGTGATGATTTTGAGGGAAACATACATATTTAAGTGTGATATACTGTCACTTAGTTTGTTCGTTGGTGGCCATATGGACTCTAAACTTCTTAATCACCGGATTTAATCTTTTGATATTCCTAAGTTTGATCAAGAGTACTAATAAAAGAGGGATCTTCCTTCTTTATTTCCTTTCCTTCAACTGCTAGAGAATGCCATCAAAATATCATAAATATATGGAATAATATAGACAAAGCATCCTCATTCCTCTTAAATATGTATAAAGAACTATTATAATCATTTTTTCACAAAACCACACTACTACAAAAAAGGCATTTAACAACGGTCAAAAAAGATATATAATCACGCAGGTTCAGGCGTTGTTATGTAGAGTGTTGTTATAAATGTGTTACTTACAATCACGATCCTGAGACCGTTGTAGTATATTGAAAAGTGTAACAATCTTATAAAACCCCACAGATAATATAAATAAATAATCAGAGTATTTCACCAAAAATGCGTCACATGCTTCATAAAACATCATACATGCATGTCTTATTCCGTAACACGGATTTTCAAACAATTATAAAACTTTTACTACGCAACATAATTCATAGTTCAAAACGTCTTTATTAAACACATCATCAAAACTTCATTGTTCATGGTTCATAATTCGAAATAACTTAAGTACCATGAAAGGTAGATCAAAATCTCATAATAAAACAAAAGAGTATAAGTTCAAAATCAAACGTTCTCGATCCGATGTTACATATCAGAGCAAAACCTTCTAAAATCAATAAAAAGAAAATAACACACTCCAAGCTATCTTATAAGCTTCTACGAACTACTCCTGATCACCTGCGCGTTATCCATGTGGAGACAATATTCAAATAAAAATGGTGAGTAATCACATTCATTACAAGAGATATACGGAATAGACATAGTAGTTCAAATAACAACATCATATCATCAAAATCAACAACCTTGTCAACACATAATCAATTAACACAATAACATATACAATATTATCTAGTCAACAATTATGCATGCCACATAAGATATAGTGCAATAACATAGACTCATGCACGTGGTACCAATTCGTTATAAGTACTTGACTCACCACCCTCCAAAGATTCTCACCATATGATCGATTCTCTTTTGGAACCAGAGCACAACATCAACACGCTCAATCCACACAATAGGGTTGATGTCAACACTGGACCAACATCATAAATTAACATGGTCGGACCAAAGTTGTCCAAACTATGCCATGAATGCATGATGCGCAATAACAAAATATCAAACAACCACAACTAGTAAAATCACACCATCATTCATGAAATCATCAACAATATTTAATACTTCATAATAACAACATATTACCATCATAGTATTCATAATTCATCATAGCAACCAACACATTAAAGTATCAACAACTCATCATAGCAACATACATCATGATAGACTAACTCATTAAGAATCTAAGTATATCTTAGCCTAGGTACTGGAAATATAAACATTTTTACTCATTTTATTCCACCCACATGTAGTTCATCGCGTTAGGTATACAACGCTTTGAACGAAGCCTCAAACAGAGTTCTAAAACTCAAGTTATGACTCTTTAAAAATCCTACTGCCATCCATAGCCTGGTGTTCGCCCGGTGAAGCGGTCTGCTCGCATGAGGATCGCCCGACGACGTGGGAGCGACAACACCGCCATTCTCCTCTGGTATCCATCACCCGACGAAGCCCCTTGCTCTCCTGGCGACATACCTTTCGCTCTTACATCGCCCAACGATGGCGTGAGCGAGACAATACAGTATCATCACTTCTCCATCCCTTTCTTCGCCCCTCTGCTTGCCCGATGATGACCAGACGATGTTACTTTGCCCGACGATGCATCCCATAGCCTAGCGATGCGTAGCAGACTGCAACTTCCTGTTGCGATTTTGGATATGTTCATCCCCAATTCCTCTTGCATTTTCATGCTAATACAATCCAAATTCTCATAGTTTGCAACATATAATTATCATATAACAACCGTACAATATTATAGGGATTATATACACAAACTCATGGCAATTCAACATGTTATTTTTATCAATTTCAACATAATTTCATCACGATATAACATATGATCAAATTATCAAAACCCCAATAAATTCCTACATACCTCTAAACCCCAAATCAATTATAATGACAAATCACACCCTTACCTTAGATTCATAGCTTGGGTCTCCTCTCTTCATGATCTACCGAAATTCCTCTATGTTTTTCATGCCCTAACTTTCTCCTATGCTCTTCCAATGTTTTCACGATCGTATCAAATGAAACATTTTCCCTTATTCCTTGTTTAACCTTTGGACCCCTAATATATTTTACCCAACTTGTCCTTACTTCACCTTTCACCAATTATCATCTCGCCCTTATCTTCTCTACATCAATTATTTCTCTATTTTATTATTAATAATAATTCTAACTAATTTTAAATAATTATTAACTAATTATCTAAATTACTATAATACTCCTTACTCATCTAAATTCCCATTTTTCCACAATATATCAGCACATCACACATCATACTCAACAAAACATCATATATTCATCAACAATTTATAAATACTCATAATTAATTAATTAAATAAGTAATTACGAATTTTAGGGTGTTACAACTCTTCCTCACTTAAAGAATTTTTGCCCCGAAAATTACCCGAGGAAAACAGAGTCGGGTACAACTCCTTCATTTGATCCTCACGCTTCTAAGTCAAACTTCCACCAGCCGGTCCACCCTACAACACCTTCACTAAGGAAATATCTTTACCCCGTAATTTCTTCACTTCTCGGTCTTCTATCCACAAGGGTGATGCTTCGACAATCAAGTTATCTCTTACCTGTACATCATCTATCTGAATCACATGTGAAGGATCCGTAATATATTTTCTCAATTGAGACACATGGAACACATCATGAAAATTTGCAAGTGATGATGGTAAAGTAAACCGATAAGCCACTTAAGGTGTGAAGAAAACACAAGAAAGGGGGGTTGAATTGGGTTTTCCATTCATAGCAAACTTTCGTCTCTTAAAATTATTTGGTTAAGTGATGCTTTCGAATATGTTGTGAAAGCATAAACAGTAAAGCCTAAGCAAGAGTAAAGAACACGTGATATATCCTGGTTCACTTGAGAAATCCTCAAGCCAGTCCAGTCCACCCTACCAAGGTTATTTCACCTTGAACTTAAGGACTTAATCCACTATAATCAAACTTATTACATCCTGCACAACCAACTGCTGTGACTAACTACCACTAAGACTACCATCTCAGTCTTCTAAAAGCTTCTGACCTAACGGGTTCTTTGAGGAACAAATTATCTTCTAAAACTTTTGATCTAACTGGTCCTTTAGAATAAACACAATACCTTCTAAAGCTTCTGACCTAACTGGTCCTTTAGAAGGAACAAACAACTTTTTGTTTTTACAAGGTTTTTTTTATAAGAGAATTCTTCTACACAAGCAAGTGTAAACTCAATTAAGTACATCAGAAGATTCTAATACACACTAATAATATTACATTGTATTTTATT